CTTGGATTTCCAGAGGCCTATTTAGAGAGATAGTTGATAGAGTCTCTTGGGAGGTGGTTCTAAAAGGTAAAGGAGCCCAGAATGGTTGGGTTGTCTTCAGGAATGGATTCTAAGATTTTTAGAGCTATAGGAGAAGGCATTCTCAATGTGCCAAAAGTTGAACTGGTAGAGGAAAAGACCAGCCAGGCTGACCAGAGTTTCTTCAGGAATTCTGAAATAAAAAGGGTTTATGAGCTCTGGAAGAAGGGGCAGGAGGACTATATCAAGCTGTGCAGAGAGAAAATTAAAAGGACAAAGCCCAACTGGAACTCATTTTGGCTAGCGTAAAAGACAATTAAAATGTTTTTATAAATACATCAACAGCAATAGGAGGATTAAGAAGAAGAATCCTTTATTGGATATCAGGGGAAATGTAGTGATGAAAGATGAAGATAAGGCTGAGGTAGTCAATACCCTATTTTTTTTAATTTTTATTTTTTTTCCTCAACCTTTATCAGAAAGACCAATTGTTCTCAGGGTACCCAGACACCTGAGTTGGAAAATGGTGACAGGATTCAAGGGTACTGAAGAAGCTGGTGGAAACACTCAGCAAGCCACTTCAATAACTGACCAGCAATCCCGGCTGACAGGGGATATCCCAGTTGACTGGAGGTTAGTAAATATAACTCCAATCTAAAAGAAGAATAGGAAGGAGGATCCAGTGAATTATAGGACTGCCAGTCTTACTTCAGTCCCAGGGAAGGTTGTGGTGCAGATCATCTTGAGTACCATCACATGGTACATATGGGACCTTGAAGTGATCAGAAGTAGCCAGCATAGGTTTATGAAGGGCAGGTCCTGCCTGACTAACCTGATCTCCTTCTATGACAAAATGAATCACTTAGTAGATGAGGGGAATTATGTGGATAATTTTTATCATGATTCTGGTAAAGCATTTGACACTACACCACAGCATTCCCTAGGAGAAACTGTCTACTCATGGCTTGGACAGATGTACAGTTCAGTGGGTGAAGAACTGGCTGGATAGCTGGGCTCAAAGAGTCAGAGTGAATGGAATTCAATCCAGGCCATCACCAGTGGCATCCCCTAGGGGATCAGTCTTGTCAGTCTTATCAGATATATTGATAAACGCATCCTCAGTAAATTTGCAGACAATACCAAGTTAGGCGGGACTGTCAAACTGCTTAAGGGTAGGAAAGGTTTGCAGAGGGATATGTATAGGCTAGATTCATGGGCCAAATCCAATCTCCTTTATCTCTCATATAGCATCACTGCTGTTTGTAAAGAAGACTTCTCAGAGTCTGAAATTTACTCTTCTGATCACTTAAAACTGCCATCTTAGGGCTACAACTTTTGGTATAAACTTATATGAACTTTTGATGTGGCATTTTTACCTACATATATGGTTTCTGTAAGTATTAAATTTATTCTTTTTTGTCTTTCTGTTGGCTCAAAACTTCTCCCAACTTCAAGTGCCTTAGGCTCTTAGGCTCTTATTTCTTCAACTCATGGAAAGACTACAATGAAATTTTATTTTCCTATAAATGTCCTTTCACATTTGTTGATCACCATGGAATCTGATGAACAACTTTCCAATGTGGTAAACTATGCCACGTGTTTTTTAAACCAAAAAGATATTGAAGGTTTCACATAAATACTTACATGTAGAAGCTTGTGCTGTCCTCTATTCTGATACACAATCTGCAACAGCAGCCATGATCTGTGTACTATGAACTGCTCAAACACATCCTTTATAACTATGATGCTGTTTCTGTCAGCTCTCATATACAATAATGTTTCAGAGGGTGCTTAGTTAAGCAGTCTTTCGTCTGTTTTCTTTAGAATCTTTTCCAGAAACAGCATTCCCAAGACTGCAAGGACATTTAGAATCTCTTTTTGTAGTAAGAAACAAAAAGGAGAGTCTTCTTCCTGTGAAACTCAGTCTGAACCAGTTCTCTATGAAAAGATTTTGTGTATGTATGCAGAAGATTTTATTTGTGTAAGCAAAGAAAAACTGTGCATACATTCCCTTTCTATAGTAGAAGTTAGTTCTTGCTTGGAAGTAAAATAATTACTCGTGAGGCACCAATAGACACCATTTTAAATAATCATCAAAATGGGTAACAAAAATGAATTTTTCAGTCATAAAATAGAATAATTTTAGATGTGTTACTTGAACTGAATATCTGGTTGCATTGCCATCTGAAACTTCAGATCAGAGTACGCTCAGGCATGCATGGATAAGCAACTGAGCCAATGTCCCTGCAGCATGGAAAAAGGGAGAAAGATAATTATTACCCTTCACCTTATTTTGTTCTGAAAATGCATGCTATCACATCTATCAATGGCTGTTATTGACAATGTTACAGAACTTTGTAATAAAACCAGAGGGTTTGAATGATCTGAATAATTACTTCAGTTGATCAGGAAAGAGGGAAAAGCTATTTTTAAATAAACTGAGGAAATAATATGCTTTTAACATAAAAGTGCTAATCAGGGAAGAAAGAAGTGAGCTGCTTAAATGTTGGGACAGAACTGAGTAAAGAGCCTGGGAAACAATTCTCTCTCAAGCTGCAAGAAGAAGAACAACAACAAAAAAAAAATCATGCAAATCTGCTTGACTCACTCCAAATGCTTCTGACTAGAAGGGTTTATTAAGAATAAATCAGTGTTCTCATTCATATTATAACATGAAAAAGAATTAAATACCAGTGGAAAACAACCTGACATGCACACTGTGCTGGTTTTACCCTGCTATGCAGCTGAGCTCCACCACAACTGCTCACTCCCCCTCCTCAAATACAGAAGGGGAGAAAATAGAATGAAAAGGGCTCAAGGGTTGAGATAAGGACAGGGAGATCCCTCACCAGTTATCATCACAGGCAAAACAGACTCAGCATAGGGAAATTAATGTAGTTTATTGCCTGTATTTATTACATTTATATTAAACATTGGTTGCAGACTAGCACAATGAGAAAGTAAAAGCAAACTAAAAACACCTTCCGCCCATCCACCCTCTTCTACATCCTCCCCTCAAGTAACACAGGGAAACAGGGAATGGGGGTTTTGGTCAGTCCCTAATGCTTTGTCTCCTCTGCTCCTTCACGGTCACTCCCTGCCCCTGTTCCACGTGGGGTTCCTCCCATGGGATGCTGTCCTTCTTGAACTGAGCCTGCAAGGGCTGCCCACAGGCAGCAGCTCTTCAAGAACTGCTCCAACACGTGTCTGTACCATGGGGCCCATCCGTCAGGAGCAAACTGCTCCAGCATGGAGCAGAAATGCTGAGCAATCCTGCACAGGCAGCGGCTCCCCTCAGACCCCTGCTCCTGTGTGTGGGCTCCTCTCCACAGGCTGCAGCTCCGGTCCACGGCCTGTTGCTGCGGGGGCTCTCCGTGGGCCACAGCCTCCTCCAGGCCACATCCACCTCCTCCACCGGAGGTTCCTACACAGGCTGCAGCATGGAGATCTGCTCCATGTGGGACACATGGGCTGCAGGGGGACAGCCTGCTCCACCAGGGGCCTCTCCACTGGCTGCAGGGGAGCTTCTGCTCTGTGCCTAGAGCACCTCGGCCCTCCTTCTGCACTGACCTTGGTGTCTTCAGAGCTGTTTCTCTCACATTTTCTCATTCCTCTCTTTTCCAGCTGCTGTGGCACAGCAATTTTTTTACCCTCTCTTAAATTTGCTCTCTTAGGGGCACAAACAACATCACTCATTGGCTTGGCTCTGGCCAGCAGCAGGTCCCTGTTGGAGCCAGCTGGAACTGGCTCTGGTATGAGGCAGCTGCTGGATTCTTCTCTCGGAGGCCACTCCTGCAGTTACCCACTACCAAAACTTTGTGGTGTAAACCTAAAACACATACTTGCTATCAAATACCTTATATTATGATTAAAGATCATTGAACTTAAGACCTGTTACAACTGCCTGCATGAGCATTTGCAATATAAGCCCAATGAATACAATGTCTTGAATTCACCTAAACCATGGATATGAGAAAGTGTTATGGGGAACAATTCTAGTTCAAGCATTTATTTATTTATTTGTTTATTTATTTATTTTACCCTAAGTTAGTAATGTCTGACAAAAAAAGTACAAAGTAGTTTAAAAAAGATAATTTTGAATAAGAAAAAAAGAAGTGATGGGAAGCTTTCTATTGTGACCTATAAAATGCTAGTCCAGCTGTGAAGTTTCTGTGTTTTACATGGTTATTATTAGCTGCAGTCATTGATTCTGTGACAGCATTTGTGTTCCACAAGAATTTGACTTGTCCTCAGTGTTAAACTACTTAAAACCTTAAACTACTTAACTACTTGTTAAACCATATTTTAATTTTTCAGTAAGACATGCATGAATACATCAATAATCACCTTAGCTCTCAAAAAGAACACTTAAGGTGTTGTCAAGGAAGAGGCCTCAAACTAGTGGGAAACAAGCTTCTACTTAAAGCAATGAAAAATAAACAAAAATTTATTTTAGAAATTTGCACACATACATCAAAACAAGCAAACAAAAAAACAAAACAAAACAAAACAAAAACAAACACACCACCACCACCACCACAACAAAACCTCAGTATAATTCCATAAGAACATAGCTTTTCCAATAGAATCATAAAAATTTTTGTGTGGAAATACTTAATTTCTGAATTTGATCCCATCAGTACTCAAGAATTTATACTTCCATACAGATTTTCTGCTAACACACACAAATGGATATGGATATTACTCTGGCAGGCAGCTAAGCATCACACAGTCTCTCACACACTCTCCCCAGATGGGATGGTAGAGAGAATCAGAAAGGTAAAAGTTCAAGAACTCATGGGTTGAGATAAAGACAGTTTAGTAGGTAAAACAAAAGCTGCATGCATAAGCAAAGAAAAGCAAGGAATTAAGTTGTGACTCCATCATTCTGAAGGTGACATTCTCACCACCACCACCACCCACCCTCTCCCTTCTTTACCACAGCTTTATTACTGAGCATGATATTATATGGTATGTATTACCTCTTTGGACCATTTGGGTCACCTGCCCTGTCTGTGTCTCCTTCCAACTTCTTGTACACCCCCAGCCTCCTTGCTGGCAGTACAGCACAAGAAGCAGAAAAGTCCTTGGCTCTTTGTAAGCACTGCTCTGCAGCAACTAAAAACATTGGAGTGTTATCACCAATCAAAAATCCCAAACACAGCAATGTGTGAGCCTCTACCAAGAAAATTAACTCCATCCCAGCCAAAACCATGACAATTACCAATGTGTTATTGTTAAAATAACTTATTATAAGAAATTGTTTCTAACATACTTGGACTTGTTTCTAACATGGACTTCATGAACAATATACTGCCCCTTCATACATTTGCTAAATCTATTTGAAGTATACTAGAAGTACTTTCACATAAGTGTATTGAGGCATGAAATAGAATCATGCATTTTTAAGCACACTGCTTTCTAACAAATTTGTTTCAGAATATGCACATAATTAGAGTCACAGCTCTGCATAGTAGTCAGCATTATACCATTATTTGCCAAACAGCGCTTTCTAAACAAAATGTGCATTCCATTTCAAAATTTTACTTATGATCACTCAAAAAGAAGAGATATTTGCCAGAGACATTTTATTGATTAATATGACATCAGACTGATCAAAGAATCAAGTTGACAGTAAGATTGTTTTTTTCTCCATATAATTTGATTAAAAGAACAGAATTTTAGAAACAACTGAAACTGTGTCATTAAGGTGCTGCATTTGTCTTGTTCTGGCAATGTGCACTTATCAAGAGTTCAGTGGAATTTTTTTTTTCTGAAGCTCTGTTACACAGCAGATGGGATGTCTAACATCCTTTTCTATTTAAAACATGCAAGTTCTAATCAACAAGAGGGTTTGGAATGTTAAACCAGCCAGCCATAAGAAATGTGTCACACAGTTTGCTGTCATCCTAATTAATTAGATTGAATTATTTGTTGTCCCCAATGAACTCAGATGAGCTCAATGACTGATAATAGCTTCATTCTTTTCAGGGATTTTCCTTTAATTTTATTCACTTTGATTTAAGAGAGAAGGTTTAGAGGGGAAAAAACAACAACAACAACAACAACAAAAAACAACAAAACAAACAAACAAACAAAAACTGCCACTAAGTAGGGATATTCAGAAATATATACTTGTGACTTATTAATATGAGTGAACATTTGACCTATTACTAAGGTCATTTTAATTTTAAATCTTCCAGGCTAATGTTTCTTGAATAATTACTATTTCAGTAATTATCTTGCACTTTTGTAGTGCATTTCTGGACATGTCTTGTAATAGAGTTCTTGCCCTTCACACTCTAAGAAAGACTCGATAAAATTATGTGAACATTGTTTATAATAACAGACAAATAAAATCTGAGGGTTAACATAATAAAAATCAATGTTAAATAAAAAGTTAATCAGCTGTTTTCAGTCAGAAAAACATTGCCTTTTGTTGCTTTACTGTTAACATTTACATTAGAAAAAAATAGGCTTGATGAATACAAAATTGAATGATAATTTATTGAGATAAAATAGAGGACCAATCTTACTAATCTTATGTCTTTCTCTTGGTGAAAAAAATTGAAAGTAGGTCAATGAAAAATCTGTAGATAGCAGAGGAAATAACAGGACTTTAATAAAGAAAATGGCAGTTTAGTTACTGGTCATGATTAATTAAATTTATTTATTTTTGGTAAAAATATTGAATTTAAGTAAGGGATTAAATTTGTCTGTGAAAGTAGGAACAGGCTGTTACTGGGAAGGGGAGGGGAGGGGAGATCTTTAAGAAGATCTTTAAGAACTCTAGATGCCAACTACATCTCTTTAAAGATCACAGGATCTTTAAGAACTCCAGATGCCAACTACAATGAAGACACAGGACGAGACTGACCCTAGCAAAGCAGTAAGTGCAAACATCTGGGAAGGTGAAGGAGGAAAACTGGTAAGAAAGCTGGTGATTTCTGTCATTCAAGGAATGATCCACCTGAAGGCTTGCAGCTATAGTGCAGGTTCACTGCCCTCCATGCTGAGGAGTTTCTAGTAAAGCATCTGAGCCAACTGAGTCATAGCAGAGCCCCAGGAAGAGTGATAGTAATGGACAACTCCCCTTTACAAGGGAAGAAGGTACACATCTACAAACCTGGCATGTCATCTAGAGAAGTTTTCTGCTTGCTGAGGTGTGGGCTGTTATGGAGAGAGACTGCTGATGCCTGTCCAACTATTATTCCTTAATGTTCTTCTGGGAATCACCAGTGCTACTGCCAGTGGATACTTGACCCAAGTGATAGAAGAACCAATGAGGAGAAGTGCTCTGCTGGACCTCATCATACTCATAAACATAGAAGGCATCACTGGGGATGTGAAGGTTGAAGGTAGCCTTCACTACAGAGACACTATCTGAGCATGCAGAGATACAATTAGGAAAGTCAAACTCCGCTTGGAGATGAATCGAGCAAGCGATTCTAGAGGAAACAAGGGCTTCTGTAAGTATGTAAGTGGCAAAAGGAAGACAAAGGAAAACATCACATTGCTGAAGGGGACAGGGTCCTGATGATGCAAGACATGGAAAAGTTTGAGGAACACACAATACCTTTTTGCTCCAGTCTTTAGTAGAAAGACTGGTCATTAGAAATCTAAGGATCCAGAAGCCTGGGGGAAATTGTGGGAGAGGGAAGACTTGTCCTTGGTTTCAGGGTATCATATTAGATAATACTTAAGCAAACTAGTCAGAGGCAAGTCCATGGGACCTAATGGGACAGACACAACAATTTCTGGTATTGATTGATGTATATTTAAGGTCACTGTCAATAATCTTTGAAAAACTATGGCAATTGGGAGAGGTGCCTGAAAACTAAAGGAAAGCAAATGTCACTCCTATCTTCAAGGACAAAAAAGAAGACTCAAGCAGCTACAGGCTGGTCAGACTCACCTCTGTCCCTGGGAGAATGATGAGCAGCTAATCCTAGAAACTGTTTCCAGACGCATGAAGGACAAGAAGGTGATATGGAGTAGTCAGTATGGATTTACCAAGGGAAGTCATGATTAGCCAACTTGATAACATTTTACACTGAAATGACTGCCTTGGTAGATGAAGGGACAGTAGATATTGTCTATCTTGATTTCAAAAAGCTTTTTGACACTGTCTCCCATACGGACCTCATAAATAAGCTGATGAAGTATGGGCTGGATAGGCAGACAGTGAGGTGGATTCAAAGCTGGCTGAATGGGTGAGCTCAGAAGGTTGTGGTCAATGATATGAAATCTAGGTGGAGGGCAGCAACTAGCGATGTACCCCGGGGGTCAATATTGGGTTCCAATATCGTTTAATATCTTTGACAGTCTAGATGATAGGTCAGCGTGCACCCTCAGCCAGTCTGCAGATGACACAGAAGTGGGAACTGTGGCTGATACACCAGAGGGTTGTGCTGCTGTTCAGAGGGACCTCAGCAGATTGGAGAGGTATGCTGGCAGAAACCTAATGAAGTTCAACAAGAAGTTCAAAGTCTTCTGCCTTGGGAGAAATAATCCCATGTACCAAAATATGGTGGGGGCCAACTATTTGGAAAGCAGCTTTGCAGGGAACAGGGGAGCCTTTTGGGTGTCCTGTACGGTATGAAGTTGAACATGAGTCTGCAAAGTACACTTGCCATAGATAAGGCTAGTATCCTGGGCTGCATTATGCAAAGTATTGCCAGCACCATTTGAGGGAAGTAAACCTTCCCATTTATGCAGCACTGGTGAGGCTACACTTGGGAGTACTGGGTTCAGTTCTGAGCTTCCCAGTAGAAGAAATACATATAGTTACTGGAGATGGTCCAGCAAATTGTCATTAAGATAGTTATCTGGAGTATCTCTCCTATGAGGAAAGGCTGAGAGAGCTGGGAATTTTTATCCTGGACATGAGAAAGGGGATCTCATTAATGTATATGAATACCCGAAGGAAGGATATAAATGTTAGAAATGGCTCAATCTTCAAAATAGGATTAAATAAAAAAATAGGATTTATTAAAGGAATAGAGGTAAGCAAACAGCGCTGGGTGCACCGGGAGTCTCCACTCCACCAGGACGAACACCAGTTACATCAAGTAGCTGATTTTTATGCTCCTAGACTAATACATATTCAATACTACTTCTAAAAAAACCCAGGTTATTATAATTAGCTTCCGGGGTCCAGTCCCTCCTACTGGAGCATGTGCATCAGTCTCCTCTGGGGGTCTCTAGGGGTCTTTCATGCTGAAGGCTTGTAGTCTTCCTCTCCAAGTTTTTTTCTCGTCCTTCCCCTTTGTACTCCTTTGGCACCGTATCAAGTTTATAGAACATTTCCTGCAGGTCTTGTCTCCCAGCCGTCCTTCAGATTCTTGTTTTTTCTTCTTAATCTCTTGGCCACCTGGCCAGATACCAGAGGCTTGCATAGTATCCCATAACAGTCACTAGTTGTTATCAGTTGTTCTGAAACCCCCAGACATCAAAGACTTCATACAAACACAAATAGCTTTCTTATTGACACTTCACGAGTAATTAAAACATTCTTCACCAGCCATTCACAGGGACAGTCACACCTATAGCAGTGTTAAGTTAATCTCGAAGAAGACAAAAAAAAAAAAAAAAAGGCTGTAACTGTTAGAAATAGAAGTCTGGAATAACAAAAGCAAACAGGTTCATAAATTTGAGGGGTATTTTCTGAAGACTTGATAAATTGACTAGAATGAGGGGGAGACTGGGACACACTGCATCTGTGGTTCAAGAATTGAATTGCCAGTGCAGGGCCCAGAGGCAGACAGGATTGTTCTTTATGGACACGAATTGTTAAAACATTCCTCACATAAAGAAGGCATGGACAGGCTCTTTTTGGTGGTGCTCAGTGACAGGACAAGAGGGAACAGGCACAAACTGGAATACATGAAGTTCCTTCTGAACAGCAGGAAACGATTCTTTACTGTGCAGGTGACTGGCATAGGTTGGCCAGAATCCAGGTAGTGGAGTTTCTCTCCTTGGAGGTATTTAAAGCTGCCTGCGTGTAGTCCTGGAAAACGTGCTCTAGGTGGCCCTTACTCTTGAAGAAAGAGGTCGGACAAGATAACCTCAAGAGATCTCTTCCAACCATTCTGTTAT